GCAAGTTAATAGACAAATTTTCACGTATCGAAATTCAAATTTGTTATACATTGTTTTAAAATGCAAGTTAAGTCAAGAATCTCGTATGAGACCACTTATAAGCTACAGAATAGCTTATAAAGTGTATGAATACCTTAATAATAAATTTATACGAGAGAGCTCTCATATATTTTGCTTGAGGAACGAAGATAAAGAGACATTGATTATTGTTTGACAAAAAACACTAGCAAACATTCTTTATAAATATAAATTGCTGAAAAACAACGTTGATTCTAACAAATATCAAAACAGAGCGTCTAATTTAGCTTAATTATTATTAAAAAATTACAAATTGCTTATGTAAATATTGGCTTTTGTAATGCAAATATGTTTTCAAAAATATTATTATCCATTCCTATCACTTATTTGAAATAATTTAACGAATGAAATATCAATGACTTCAAAATTTATTGCTAATGTTTGAAATAAATTATATTTCAAGAAAAAAAACTAGCTTGATGTTTAGAATATTGTAGCTAAATATAATAATGATGAAATTTATTTTGAACAGTATTATGCGTATAAAGCTTGATTTAATGAATGAATATCATAAATAAAAAGATTAATTCATTATTCGAACAATAATTTCGTCGTTATCTTTTATTGTGAAATAAGTTTCGTAAGTAAACATACGAAAAACAGACAAGATTGATCAGTTTTATCTTTTCATTTCGTAGCGAGCAAAATTTGCTTGTGTTACACCATGATCTGATTTAGCAACAGCGTATTCTACTCATATAATTCTAAATAACAAATACTCTTCTTCTATTCTTTCGAAATAAGACCGTGTTCTGGTTGAATACACAGCTTACTTTAATTAGTAATTCTTTTCTTTCCTTTGAAATAACGTCGTGTTCTGGTTGACCACTCAGCATACTTTAGTTGGTAATTCTTTTCTTTCCTTCAAAACAATGTCGTGTTCTGGTTGATTACGCAGCATACTTTAGTTAGTAATTCTTTTCTTTCCTTTGAAACAAGACCGTGTTCTGGTTGAATGTATAATCGATCACATTAATACTATAAAAAGGGACTATTTACTGTTACTCGATACCTACACTCTTATCTTCATTCAACAGCAAACAAATGCAATCATTTTGTGTACCAATTCTGGTTGTGGCTCTGACTGTAATCATTACTGTGCAGCCGTCGAATGCAAGAGACTCCTCTTATTTTCAAGCATCACGTCGACACTTTGATCGAAACCAACTTAAGCGTGTGCTGATGAATTACTTATCAAGGAATATCGTCGAAGAATCAGACGAAGATAATGATTTATTACAGAAGCGTGATAATACAGGTATGATTCTTCTACTCATATATGGAATTATTCTTTTCCTAGCGAATAACGAATAAGTACGGAGGGAAGGGGGGACGATGTCAGAATTTTGCCAATAAGACTATTGCTCATAGAACATTAGTTAGCGGCATTAATGATTGAATTCTGAGGGATCTGCTGGTCGAAGTGAAGTAGATAGAGGCATATTAACTTGAGATTGTAGGCGTGTGGATGGTACGAATACGAACTGTTGACTATACATTTATACTGTAGAAAGATACTCTCTCATTTTATATCTGTATACTACAGATTATCAATGCCATATAATATTTCTTTTTATAGTTAGTCCTTGGACCCAATTATCAAGTGCCGGTTGGGTGGAATGTTATTGGCTTTCAAGTGTATACGATAAAACAACAACGGACGCCTGTAAACAGGCTTGTCTTGGAGTAACTGGTTGCAATGCAGTAAACTTAAAGCACAGTGAACACCGATGTGATTTCGAAAAATGCACACCAGGCACACAAAAAGTCAATGCCGATGCCGATCATGAGGCACATATCATGACAAGCGCACGTGAGTACTGTGTCTATGCAGATGCATAAGAGAAACATAATATAAAGATTTGAGATTTAATGTCTTTGTTATTTAATCAGATTTAGTTTGTAAACACTTGACATCATCAAAGTCTCACGATGAATAAAAGTATTCATCTTTATTATCCATCGCAAGGTAGTAACAATGAGAAACAAAACAATTTTCAAAAGCAGTTTTATATTTTTGAGTTGCTCGAGAAAAAGAAAAATCTGTCCGAACTATAAAATCGGAATATTTGTAGAGTTCCCGTTATAAGTGTTAGCTTTTAGGTGTTTCATTGCTTTTCCCTAAATATTCTTCATACATTTTTGTCGAGTTTTTGCGACTGTTGCACCTATATACTATAGATTATCAATGCCATATAATATTTCTTTTTATAGTTATTCCTTGGACCCAATTATCAAGTGCCGGTTGGGTGGAATGTTATTGGCTTTCAAGTGTATACGATAAAACAACAACGGACGCCTGTAAACAGGCTTGTCTTGGAGTAACTGATTGCAATGCAGTAAACTTAAAGCACAGTGAACACCGATGTGATTTCGAAAAATGCACACCGGGCACACAAAAAGTCAATGCCGATGCCGATCATGAGGCACATATCATGACAAGCGCACGTGAGTACTGTGTCTATGCAGATGCATAAGAGAAACATAATATAAAGATTTGAGATTTAATGTCTTTGTTATTTAATCAGATTTAGTTTGTAAATACTTGAGATCATCAAAATCTTGCGATAAACTCACACCTACACCTACCCACAATTAGTACTTAAGTATTGTAAATAAAACATAAGGTTACTATAAAGGATGAAAACGGACAATGTGGGCTTTAGTATAGAGTGAAATGGTGCATTCTCTAATGAAAAAAGAAATAATGAGAAACAGACATTTAAATTTGATATCGTTGAGTGATAAAACATAGCTTTGAGACTGACGATACATATTGAAGAGGTTCATGTCAGGAATAGACACTTCAACTCTTATTGAATAATGTTGACTTTCATGATATGAATAATCAACAATCTTTTGAACAAGAACCTATTCTAGCCCTTATCGATTAACGTTGTTTGCTTAATATTTGCGACTATTCTTCATTTAGTTAGATTATGTCAAGGAACATTTCATGAATCCACGTACATTTTGAAAAAAAGATAGTACAACAATAAACTTGAAAAGGATTTAAAAAAGAATTTATGAGACACTCTTATAACACATAAGGGCATATGCAATAGTTTGTGAGATATTCCTATGCAGCCTATAAGTACTTGAATATATCAGAAATCTCTTCACATAATCTTACTGAGTAAAGAAATATCTCCTAAACTCTGTCATATACTCTTACTAGGGAATGAAATAGCTCTTAAATTCTCTTATGTATTCTTATTGAGTACAAAAATATCTTCCAAGTCCTGCCATATACTCATGTACGGACTGATGAAACGTTTTTATGAAACGCTTATACATCTAAAATAAATGTGTGAAAGATTTATAAAGTACTCAGAATTGATATATAAACATCTCACAAACCCTTTCCGCAACTGTTTCTAAGTATATAAATGTCTGATAGACCTTTTCTAAACGCTTTTTTTTGAGCAATATAAAAATAGTATTTTTCATTTATATAGGTACAAATACTGATTTGTCTATAGCTAGAAATAGATAAAAAGAAAATGGCTATTATTATCTTAACTATAAGAAATCAAAATGATTTTTTTGATTGATCTCATGGAAGATGAGTAAATAGTACCTCTCATTGAGTATGACGAAAAATATTTTCTCTATTAAAAGAGATAAAAATACAATGTCTTTATTACTGCCTGTTCTACGTTAAGAACAAAAATATTCAGCGTCACAGTACGTTGCAAGAATTCTTTTTCACATCCCACTTAAGCCAAAAAAAGAATTGTTTCTATTTGAGCAGCGAGATATACAGAAAAAGTATAAACAGTTCTTCTCTATAGATGAACAAAAAAGTACACTGATTATTTAAAAATCATTGTTATAAAAAGAAGTAGTGTTTGGTTTAATGAAAGATAGAAGCGAAGATCCTCTCTCTAACTTAAGTGCAAAGAGAAACCGGTCTCTTACATTATGTCGAATGAAAAGACACGACTAAGATAATTTTTCTCATGGCGATAGACGAAAACTAAAAAAGCATAACACGTTGTCTAATTATGAAATGTAAAGGCTAGCTGAGTTAACGATTAACTAGGGTGCAGGTGAATATGACGCATACTCACGTCATCTTTCCCCATAGCAGAATATTCTATTCTTATATGTAAAACAATTAATCCTTCATATGAAACTGTAAGGTATTCTATCTTTCAACGCAGAATAAAAAATCTATGTCCGTAACCTGAGCGATAATTAACCGTTATGCAACAATCATAACCTCTTTAAATATTCGGATATCCTTGACTTCATATATTCTAAAAGGGGTTATACTATAAGAATAAACCCCGTTAAGGACTTATGGCAACTTGTGATTAGGATGAAGGTTTATTATTGTGCTGTCCTTTTTTATAGTATGTTCACCTAGTTGTCAAAATGGTGGCACTTGTACTGCTCCAAATACATGTACCTGTGTAAATGGATGGACTGGTGCAACATGTGAAACATGTATGTATTTATTCTTGTTGAAGCACCTCTTTAATTGAAAAAAGACTTTGATTACAATTCTCTGACACTCAGTGATTAATGATGATTTTTATTTGTGCACCTAGATGCCATACACAGTCGTCTTGCAGCTGTCTATTCATCGGACTGTGTAGGATCTTTCGAAGTTCGAAACGATGTAATCAGTGAGAGTAGAGAGAATTCTTCGAAATTATTGCATTTGATAGTACGCTCTACGAAAGTATGTATGGGTGTGAGTGGCTATAGATGAGCGTGTCAGTGTGGATGTATATGTCTCTTTTTTATTCACACTCATACCTCAAGATACATTATGCAATCCTTATCAATATCCACATCCTCAATCTATTTTGAATACATTTCTTTTTTCTATCATATCAAGATACTTATACGTTTGTAATATCATTTTAGCACAAGGACCAGCATGTACAGAGATTGTAAAGGATCAAGGACTCATGTTTCGCGAAAGATATTTTGCTGATAATGATGCAATGAATTACGGAAAAATGGTGGACACACCTGAAGAATGCAGAGAGTATTGTAATTCAGAACCAAAGTGTCTGGCCTGGGAAATGTCGAGAGGTGGCAATTGTGGTTTAAATACAATTGTTAAACCAGACCCAAGACCTCTCACTGGTTTTATATCAGGATTTTGCAATAGAAAACCAGGTAAGACATTGCATACGTTTCTTTTCATATATTTCAGAATGATTCGTTTTATTTACAACCAAAGCGTCATTTAATACAATTAGTGATCGCTTTATTATCTTTTTAATTGCAGAAGATCCATCTAGGATATAGAGAATTCAATAGGGATATAAGGAGTACCGTAGATTTCGGGATCCCACAATCTGCTTTTTCTCCCTTGTATTGTTCAAAACTTTCTATAATTGTGCCTATATTTAACTGTATATTTTTCATGTTAGAAAGAGAACCTGATACACAATGTGGTGAAGTGAATGTGGATCAAAAAATTGAAGATACAGATCCAGATGATAGTGAAAATCCAAGAAGCACAACAACAGCGTCAGCTGAAGAGTGCCGCAATCAATGTCAGATATATGAAGGGTGTGTGGGATGGAATTTTCGTCCCGATAGCGACATTTGTGATCGAATGATTCATGTAAAACAGAAACTTGTATCTGGTAATGGTTTCAAATCAGGATTTTGCACTAGGAAATCAGGTATGATATTGCATACGTTTCTTATAATATATTTCATAATGCTAAGTTTTACCCATAACCAAAACGCCAATTAATACAACTAGTTATTGCTTTATTGTCTCTTGAATTACAGAAAATACTGTACAATAGTCATTGAGCAATGCATCAGTTATCGGTTCACTAGTATCTATCAACACTTGAGTTGTGTGTACTACCTCACCGCTAAATATCGTACTTTCTGACATTAGCACAGACTCCTATTCGAGTTATATATCCTAAGGAGCTATTTGCAAAAGATACCAAAATGTAATATAGTAATTTGATGATTTTCTGATGTTTATTCTTCAGAAAAGATTCATGAAAGCGTTTATTAATATGTAGATAAATAAAAGAATAATAGGAACGTGAACCATTTCATTTTGATAAAAATTGTGTAGTAATGAGTAATTTTCATCACATAATGAAATTATAAGAATGTTTATAGACGCTCTAAAACAGAGCAAATATTCGAAGCTTTCGTCACGAAGACTATTTTGTCTTTCAAAATATCAGGTAAAACCAATAATTTTAAGTGGTAAATATTTTCTGAAGTTGAAATTCGAATTTTATGGTAAATTATTTTTTCTCAAGTTATATATAAGTATAAAGACTATAACCCATTTAGTACAGTTTACTATTCGATCCTTCTGTCAGTATTCTACCACGTCAGTACAACTCTTGACAAATAGAGCGTCGGGGTGACACAGTTTTGATGAAACTCGCTTCATAAAATTTTCTATGTTCTTAGATAAGATCAGTATTGATTTTTGCAAGAAATCTCTAACAGATAATCTTGAGGGCATTTTTGGTAGTATTTTGAGTGGAATCTCGTGCGATTCTGTATCTAACATACAGAGATAACAAACGAGGAAACCTATTCATGCGGTCACGATGTTTCGGTTTCATGTTTTAGCGGTAGATAGACCTCAATAAGTTATAAAAAACTGAAGTGGATCCGTGTTTTTAAGGCTTCTATCAAAAGGTATGGCATTTTATTGAAAATTTTCTGTATCATAAAGTTTCCAGGAACTGGTTGAATGTCGATATCTTGAGCTGCGCTTTTACTCGCAGACAAATCTATTGGTAGGTAGAACATTTTGAAAAATTCAGTTCAAAATAATGTTTTCTCTCCAAGATAGTAAGTTCGAAATACCGCCCACATATTACAAAAAATGTTAGAGTTTCTCGTTTTTTTCGGACATTATCGTTTTGTGAAGAAAGCATTATTTTGAGCTGAAAGTCTCATGTTGTTCTACTCACGAATAGACCTATTCATGAGCAAAATATCCTCTTGAAATATCGAGATTCAACCTATTCCTATCTATCGTACTATACACAGAAATTTCAGTAAAATATCTGTACCTTTAGATAGAAGTCGTAAGAGCACGAATCTCGAGGGTGAGAATGTGATTGTGGATGCACTAACTATTGTTTGATGTAAAAC